AAATGTACCAACAATCACATTTAAAAAATATACACGTTTTGATATACCATAAAAAATAAAAAAAACGGGTAGCCCATCTGAATTAGGACATTTAGGCTATCCATCTAATAGTAGCCTACCAAAATTTTGTTAACAGTATAAGTTAAATCTTATTGTAGTCTTCAAACCTGGGTACTGTCTTACGTTTTAAAATCACAAAGGGAGTTTGGTCCCTAACGTGACAGTCACGACTCATGCAGCTGTAAGGTTTTCTTTTTCTTTTGATTTTACTCGCGATCTTTACAACACGCATTATATTACGTATTTCATGGCGTTTTATGCGTATTTGGCGCCACCTATTGTTGTGGGTGTATTATTGACATGTCAAAGTCTAGACCCTGAATATAAGACGACCGCGTTTTTTGAGATGTATTTCCAAGAAAAAAACATCGTCTTATATTCGGGTCGATACGGTAATTAAATTTAATCAGGATTTTGTCTTCAGTGTATATTTTGGGTGCTGCAACTGGTAACCATTTTTTCACAGTTTAGCTTTTTGCAGTTCATTTAAACTGTCAAACAATGTTGACAAATACATTTTTACAAATAGAAAAATGTAATGACGTCTCTCTGTTTAATATGTGACCATAAAGTATGCATACATAATAATTATGCAAATACAAAACAGATGTTTGTAGTGGTTTTGGACACTGCTGTCACTGCTTGGTGTATCATGTCAAGTAGCCAATAACATGTTGTGTGAATACAATATTTGTCATGGCTACTAAGGAGAATCAGGTGCCTGGAGTCCTGGAGAAGAGCATGCAGTCACTGTATTGTGTGTTTGCTCTCTCAGGACATGGTGAACCGGAGGATCTCCATGGACATGATGCTAAAGATCGCTGCCAGTCAGCGCTACAGACAGTTTATTTTCCTCACAACACAGAGCATGAGGTAAAGAGCTTCTCTAGTGTTCATGCAGAAATGTGTAGATGTACAGTGCCCTCCATAAGTATTGGGACAGTAAAGACAAAATTGCTCTGTTTGCTGTGGAGTCAAGATATCTCTAAATATGATTAAAAGATGAATATGAGACAAAACTACAGAATGACACATTTTATTATTGAGTGATTCAACACATTGATGTTTTACCAGCTAAGAAGTTCAGCACTTTTAGAGTTTCATCCCCCTATCTGATGTGAGCATAAGTATTGGGACAGTTGCCTCTCAGGTCTGTGATCAAGTAAGCAGCTGTGTCCTGTTGCATTAATTGATCAGATATTAAAAGCAGGGAATGTGTTGTATCAGTTATATCCATTGCTTCTGCATTCTGAGTCTTGCATTTGATGACGACACACACAAACCAGGATGAAGACAAGGGAGCTGACTTTGAGAGAAAAGCAAGCAATTTGGATGCTAAAAGAAAAGAGGAAGTCAATTAGAGCTATAGCAAAAACAAAGGGCATGGAGAAATCAAGAGTTTGGAAACCACTGGCGACATCAGCAACCAACAACGACCTGATCGACTGGGAAAAAAACAACAATAGTTGATAACCGACAAATCATAAAAGCTGTGAAAATGAACCCTAAAATATGTGTCTGTAAAATCACCAACAACCTCGAAAGCTGGGGTGATGCTCTGACAATCTACTGTCCGCAGGAGACTTTGACACAGAATTACAGAGGCTACAAAGCAAGATGCAAACCTCTGATCAGTACCAAAAATAGAAAGGCAAGATTAGAGTTTGCACAAAAGCACAAAGGTGAGCCAGTAGAGTTTTGGAACAGAGTTTATGGACCGATGAGACTAAGATTAACCTTTATCTAAGTGATGGGAAAGTAAAAGTGTGGAGAAAAAAGGGAACTGCAAATAATCCTAAGCATACAACCTCATCATCAGGTCTCTGGAACAGGCACTCTGAATTTTAATGATTACTTAATGTATGATGGCAGTAGCAGAATGAATTTGTAAGAGTACAAAACCATCTTGGCTACCAATATTAAAGAAAATGTCACAAGACTCATCAGAAAGTGCTTCATATTGCATCAGGACAATGACCCAAAACACCCTGCCAGTTCAGTCAAGGAGCTTATCAGGGCAAAGAAATGGAAAGTCTTAGATTGGCCAAGTCAATTTTCGGATTTAAATCTGACTGAACATGAATTTCACCAGCTGAAGAGGAGAGTAAAGGCAGACACTCCCCAAAACAAGCAACAGTTGGAATTGGCTGCATTAAAGGCTGGGAAAAGCATTTCAAAGGATAAGACCAAGAGTCTGGTGATGTCTATGGGTCGCAGACTCACTGCTGTGATTGCATGCAAGGGATCTGCAACTAAATAATAGCTTTTAATCTTTTACATTTGCCTTAAGTTCAGCTGTCCCAATACTTATGCTCACATCAGGTAGTGGGATGAACTCTAAAAGTGCTGTCCTTTTTATTTGGTAAAACATGTATGTATTGAAACAGCTAATAATAAAATGTGACATTCTGTAGTTTTGTGTCGTATTCATCTTTTAATCATATTTGCACATATCTTAACTACACAGCAAACAAAGCAATTTTGTCATTACTGTCCCAATACTTATGGAGGGCACTGTAGTTAGATTAGAAGACATGATTGTCTTATTTTGTATCATTTATAACACTGTTTTAAATTGATAGTCCTAGTAAAAATGTAATGTTCTGTTCTTTCTGTATCTCAGTTCTCTGCCAGTCAATAGCCTGATCTGCATCCACCGTCTGAATGACCCTGACCGCAGCGAGTCAACCCAGAATGATGCTGCTATCCTTTGAACATCTTATGTGCATCAGGCAAATCAAGACAAATCAGGCAAAGTACTTACAGCTGACAGCTGCACTTTACAGTTCTATGCGCACAAGTTTACAGGCTTTTTTTCTAAGATCATTTAAATTTACATTTATAAATAATTTTGTCATTTAAAACCAAAATGTGCAGGTTCTGTTTTTTACATTTTTCTAAAATAATAGTTTTTAGGTTTTATAAAAATGTTTGTGATTGCAATGTTATTTGCATTTGTACCTGATGAATAAGGCATATAAAGGCCAGTTATAGCTTGTTGCTGTTATTTGTTTTTATTTCATTTTCAGTCTTCCATTGTTTTATTTTTATCACTGAACTAATTAAGAAATTAAAATGTTTCTAGTATAACAAGAAATAATCTGTCACTATTTTGTTTGATCATTCAAAAATGCATAGTTTTGTATTACTGGTGTAACAGTATGGAAAAATGAAAAGTCTGTTTCAGTTGAAGGAAATCACATGAGAGATATGAGAGAGAATCATATTACCTGTTTTCCATTTCCCTTTTTTGTATTTACAGAAAGTTATGAATCTTTAAACATTGACCTTGAATACATCCAGCTTCTGAATAAGCAGAATGCAAATAATGCTGTAAATTGTGGTTTCCCAGTAAAGCTTATGACATACAGTCACAATGGCACTGATTCAGTTCTGTGATCATCTTTAAAACTGTACTTCAGTAGTGACTACATGATGGCGTCCATTTGTCTCTGAGTCTCTTACTTGACTCACAGTTCCTCTTTGCTGAGTCAACTTGTCATTGCTAGTTACATCCTGTCATTTTTTGAGGCAGTTCCTCTTGACATACATTTGTGGTTTTTATGATTGATTGTGTGCAAACTGGGGACTGAACATTATGTTGCCATTATGTTGCCTGTTCATTGCTCATTCATTGTTCACCGTTTCCTATTAGATTTTAGTCAGAATATATTCAAACATATAGACTGAACCATCATTTACAGAGTTTTGAAATTGACCTTTGTGAGTTTTTGTCTGTGTATATTAACTTAAATCTTAAGTCAGAAATACTGTACATTTTAAATGTATTTTTCTGCTTAAAGATAGCTCTGGCAAATTATAGCAGAAACATGCATTTAAAATGTATAGTATTTCTTTGGAAAATGGTCCAAAAAAAAGAATGTCTCGACATGAACTACAGAGATTGTTGTCCAATCAAATTCTCCGTATAATGAGAATGTCCCTCCCCCAATACCATCTGAATTATAAATATGTAAATATGATTAAATTGTATAGGTAACACCTGTAATTTTTCAGATTGAGTATATTTTTAAGGATATACATGGATGTTTATTCATGTGGCAAAAAAAAAAACTGAAAAACTATTAAAATTTTAAAAAGGTATAATTTATAATTAACAAAACTAAGTCTTGCATTTATATAAATGAAATTAATATTACATAAAAAAAAAAATTTAATCACAGCATGGTTAAGAAAGCAAGACAGAATTAAATCATTATTTTGCATTTGCTGCTAGCTATTTTGTATAAATATGTAAAGAGCTACAAAATAGCTGCAACAAATTATCAGCTTGTAAAAAAAATTACAGCACATTCCAGCATTGATTGGTCTGGCCATGAAACAGGTAGCGTAATAATTAGTGGCTGTACAGTTACTGTTAGTAGATGGCTCTAATTTCAGGTCTCAAGTACTTTAGGTAATATAGGTGGCTTTCGTTTCACCCCTACAAAATGAAGTACTGGTCTAAAATTGTTCATCCAGAAGTCAGTGCGATTCCTGGCCGTCAGTCCTTGGTGGCATCAGCATAGAGCAGGAATCCAGAGAACGTGCTGTCGTCCTCGCTGCTGGAATAAACACCGTTCCAGTCCCGCAGAGTCTCCAGCCAGACCTGGTCTCCAGATGATAGACGCAGCACTGCCATGTTGGAGGCCTGGTCAATGTCCTGGCCGTAAAGGGAGTCGCGAGTTCGCAGTTTCCGAATGCCGTTCACCACCAGGGCTGCACGCAGGGGGCGATTACGCACTGTTATGTAGTAGGAAAAGACGTATACTCCCCCATGAGTGCAGTTAAACTTACTGGCGTGGGGGTCCCAGTAACCCTCCTCATTGTAAATTACTTTATCAAACTTGATCGGCAGGCCAGGTGGTGGGAACGATCGGCTGGGAAAGAGACCAATGCTGAAGGCTGAGCGCTTCTGAACAGCAGGTTCACCCTTAAGGCCCTTGAGTCCCCTAAAACCTCGTGCTCCCTTCAGGCCTCGTGTGCCTTTCATCCCTGGCATCCCCCTCTGCCCTGGTGGTCCATGGGGTCCTGGAGGACCAGGCTCTCCCTGCTTACCTGGGGGTCCTGGGTCTCCCTTCGGACCCTTAGCCCCAGGAAGCCCATCTGTGCCGTTCAGACTTGGCACACCCATGTCTCCTTTTGGCCTTTGAGGCCCTGGCTCCCCCATACTGCTTTCTGTCCTTTCTCTCCAAATGGACAGTCTCCTTTGTCGCCCTTCTCCCCCTTGATGCCATCTGGTCCGGGGGGGCCAGCTGGTCCTTGTATGCCAGGCTCGCCCGCCTCTCCCTTTGTTCCGTTCCAGCCGGGCTCTCCCCTGCCCCCTGGGTCTCCTTTCAGCCCGGTTAAACCTGTATCTCCTTTGTCTCCTTTGAGGCCCATTTCACCTGCACACATTAAAAACAAGTGGAATTTAAAATAAACGGCCCATTCGCAGGAAACTGTTACTGTATACTGTATTTCACTGCTTGATTCTTAAACCAGTCCTGCTTAAGTAGTTACAGCCAGTAGTTAGTCATCATTACCAGCTCTAAAGAACTACATTATTTCAACCCCATCACAGAGAGTCTTTAATTCATATATTTAGATTACAGTAAATTCTGATAGTATCACTTAGTTTCTGTGTGCCTTGTAAGAAATTGCAAAGACTTTGATGTCACTACTTTCAAAAATATTGGGGGGGAATTTTGCATTATAACATAGAAAGTAAGGGACAGATACAAATTCTAGACTCTTAAAAGCATTTTCCAAAAAAAATGTCTACATAATGAAAACGTAGTATAATAAATGCCAATAGTTATTTACCTCTAACCCTAAAGCTCTACATTATTTCAACCCCATCACAGTCAGTCTATAATTCACATACTTAAATAACTGAGTAAATTCTGATAGTATCGCTTAGTTTCAGATATTATTGAGCCTGATAACTTTAATGTAAACATAATGAAATACTTATAAAGCCTGTAAAAGAAACTTTTATTTGTGGTCAGAAAGACCCCTCCCTTTAATATTATGTCAAACTATTATTTTGAAAAGGGTGGAAAGTGTCAAATAACAGATTGAACAAAGTGTGGGACAAAGACACGTTCTACATTTTCTCTGGAGGACATGCTGTTTTTTTATTTTATTTTTATATATATATATATAAAATAAAATTAATGCTCTTAAAATTTCCTCATACTACATAGAGTTCTGTCAGATAATGTGTCAGCAGTTCAGTTCAGATAATTCAGTCCCCCCTCACCCCAGTGTAGTAGTAAACCATGGCACTATTTCCTGAGAACAGTACATAAACCAACATAGCAAGTGTAACATGGAGTGAATCAAATACTGGGTTAGGGCTTTTGTCACAGATGAATGTACCTTTCTCTCCTTGTTTCCCAGTGACACCGAGAATCCCGGCTAGCCCACTCACTCCAGGATCACCTTTCTCTCCTGTTGGAGGAAAGGACATCTGTTAACAAACTTACAAGCATTATCTGTGAAGTAACCACAACAATGGGACATTGTGTTTAATGGGACAATGTTTAAAACGTTGTTGTTTTGGAAATGTGTTGTTTGGCTCACAGTGCTCAAAGAAAGATCTCTCCGGATATGTTTGCACTTTGTTCTCAATACCTTCACTTAGTATTGTCAGCAATGGATATGACTTAGCATCAAGCTAAAATTATTTGCACGTCTACTCTTTGATTACACTGTTTATCACAAAGAGATCTCCGTTTTTATGAATACACAGAGGTTTACTTGAAAACAAAAACCCTGAACACTGGTGTATTTATTTATTCCAGTGGTGAAGAGCTTGCTCGGGCTAGAAAGAGAGAAGAATCAGAGATTTAAGCTTTGCAGACAACCTTTTGTGTAATCCCAGGGAACTAGCATTACCAGTTTCAAGACAAATTGTAGGTTTTGCCAACTTGTGTGAGCATGCAGCACTAAAGGAAAGGGAAAGGTTTAGTCTGTTTGATTTAGGCGTGGTAATAGTTTTTTTTTTGGTAGGGACACAGAAGGAGAAGCCTTGAGAATACACACACAAACTCCATGTAATTATTCTTAACTAAGGTCAAGGTCTTCTCCAATGTTTGTCCTTCTTGCAAAACAAGGATATTTGTATACACCAGGGCTGTCCAAACTCGGCCCTGGAGGGCCGGTGTCCTGCAGAGTTTAGCTCCAACTTGCCTCACACCGGCCCTCCAGGACCGAGTTTGGACAGCCCTGGTATACACGAGTGTCAATGCCCCTAATCCTTTGTTTATAACATTGGATAGACTAACTGCCATATGTGGAAGTTGTGAAAGAAAAAAAATATGGTCCTTTTGTAAACAGTATTTGCCTAAATTCCTTTCCACTCCTGTATATGGAAGCTTTAGAACTTACAGTTGTAACATATCATTAACCACTAAGTTCTTTCTTTTTCTGCAGGTTACATTGATTCACTGATCAACTACTTGCAAAACAATCTCTCAACCAATTTGTTGAAACACAGTTTCTGCATCCAAATATGCCTACTACCCTATACTATATAATAGGTGAAAAACAGCATGTGAAATTAGTGTGTCAGAATTTGTTGTATTCCTTAAATAGTAGCCTAAATATACATGGATGACCTAGTAGGAGTTGTGAAAGGCAGTGAAGCGACGCAACTGACGCCATAGGTCACATGACATATATAACATGACATATGTAGTGTGGCCAGGTTTCATTCATACTATACAGAACATACTATTTACTGGTTGCAAAGTTCGTGATTGTGTGAAATGTGATGTCGGACGCAGTCACCAATTAATTCAGACACAAACAAGTATATA